CAAATACAATAAACTCCACTGAAGAGCTGCGCAGATCAGTTCACAGCTTCTGTGTGCTTCTCTGAAGACCTGAATTGCTGTATAAATATTACCATTGCATGCAGGACTTCTGGAGGTTTGTCTCCAGGAACATGCGTACCATGTATCTTTGGATCAGAAATTTCAGATCTATTTTCTAGCAGACGCCCTCACCCCATGGAGACTTCAAGCACAGCCTGGTGGCAGCACAGAAGCCGCAAGGGTGTCTGCCATGATAACGTCTTTTTTTTTTTTTCTTCTTTTCTTTTCTTAAATGTGTTAAAACAGAATTATTTAAAAAATGGTTTAGGTGTTTTCTCTCAGAGAGCGTCCTCATTTTCATTCTGTCTGTGGCAGGAATAGACCGTACTTCAACAGAAGTTATTTGCTTAATGCAGAAATAACAGAGAGAAGGACCTATGGCCTGTTTATTTAGGAAGTAAGACTAGATAATAATTGTGATTCCTTCTAGCTTAAAATACTTGAAAACGTGCTGGGTTTCATGTTCCACTCATTTTCCCTAATATCATCATTTCTGATTGATTATCTCACTAGAGGCTTAGCTGAGCTGCACTCATTCCCAAGGATCTCAGAAGGGCTGCCTGAGGTGAGACAAAAGATAGGTAAAAACGCCAGAGTGAAGCCACAGTAACTTTTTTCAGCTTTTAAAAAACAAAACCAATGAAACAAACAAAAAAATTAACCCACCAGCACCACCACAAATTATCTTCTATAATATAGGAAAGGAGAGAAATACTGGCTGTATCCCCCTTCCATGCAGCAAATGAGTTCCACGTACAGAGGACGCGAGTGCCCACGTCCCAGCAAATTGTGCACTGTTCCAGCCCAAAAGGAAGCAGTTTGTTAATTATTCTAGAAACTGCTTATGAGTGGACATTTGGAAATTGCTAAGAAAAAGCAAGCGCTAAAACAATAGGGTCTACATTTACTGGTATATATATTTCATTGTCATTAGTACTTGCAGAAATGAGTCCAGCACCTCTAACAGCCCTGGGTTTTGTCTCCCATATTAGTCGGCCCTCGTGGTGCTGTTGTAATACAGTTGTTATCACAGGCTGTAGCTGGCAGGTGGCAGCTACATCCAAATCTAGACAAGGTTTTGGGTACCATCAGAAAAAGCTGGAAATATTCC